ACCTTTTGAAAGTATGTTAAACAAACAGCTGCTGAAGAAAAGAAAAGACACAAATCCAAGAGATGAATATAGTCTGTTCTGAACTAAACGGTGATATGCTGCATAGAGGATACGTAATCTAAAAATATACCTGTTGAATAAATGGATAAGCAATGAGAACAAAAAGCAGCATTGCCTGCAACCACCTGAGATACTTGCAGCACACACACTTAAGAGATGGATTTGCATAGCAAAACAGAAACGTAGATTATTCAAAAAGGAGTGAAAGGATTACTTAAGAGAGGAACATGCCATGATAATGTGCAGTACATTTATCATGCATAAGTGGAGGTATTCCATCCAGGACCCAATCCCACAGTTGTATTTTCTATGCAAGTAAGGGGCTAACACAAGAGGACTACTTGGGTTTGCAATATCAGGTCCCATGTTATGTGGCAGATACTTAGGTTAGTATCTGGTTTAATCCCAGCATTTTTTCACAAAGACATGGATGAACATTAGGAAGACAGACTAGCCCACTTCAGCAAGTTTTAAGTTTGTGGAACTATTTGGAGGCCTTCAAGTGCTTGCTGTCAGTAGGTCAAGGTCCTACAGTCCGGACCTGCTTGGGAACAGCTCTTGAAAACACCTGGTTTGTTTAAGCGAATGCTTCTATCAACATTGGTTTTGTGTTTCTGAATGTATGTGAAAGAAACAACATCCTTCCCATGGCACAGAGGAAGCATCTCTTACCACCTTTCATACATCAGAGGAGATAAAAATGCAAATTTTGCATTTAAGTACAGTAATATCTTTAGGACTGTAGGTGCTCAGTACATAAGTAGTGGAAAAAATAGCTCAATTTCAATTCAATCGCAATAAAATAAGCTTGAATCTGTGATTAGACTTGTAGGGAGACTCACCCCTTCCTCAGAAAACTGATGTTGCAGCATTGCCACCTCAGTCTGTTCCTCAAGGCTCCTGTGCTTTGGGACATGACTGACCAAAGCATACTTGCATCCTCTTCCCTTCTGGAATAAACAAAGTAAATAAAGCCAAGTCTACACCAAACATCTGATGCAAGGAATCTTCAACCTCCTGAGGGGCCTCAGATCCCTGTGCCAGTAGCACAGGTTAATATTCATTTTAATCACTCTTGCCTCCTCACAGTTATGTGGGGCACTGTGGCAAATCTGCCTCAGTTTCCCCATTCCCATTCCCCCACTACTGGCTTGTTCTCACCTGCAGCCAGCTCTGGCATAGCCTCTTCCTTCTCCAGATAGTACTCACCAGTCTGTCCTTCAGTCATTAATGCTCCCTTCCCTGGATTCCAGCCCAGGACCTTATGCAAAGCAGGCAGGGCCATTTTCCCCCTCTGCTTCCACACACCCACCCACAAACCCACCTAATAAACCCCACCCCCAACAAACCTTCTCCTCCTAACCACACATTTCCCCCCCACCCATCTCATACCCTGTGTGCCCAGCTGCCAGATGGGATGGGACGGGACCTGCTGGCAGGAGCCGCAGCTTCAGGGGCAACTGCCACACTGCAGCCCTGCCCCGTGCCCACCCCAGTGCTGGGAGATGTGGCCCCAGCCTGGGGGGCTCCTAGTCTCCTAGCTCCCACTTGGAGGGTGTGATGGGCTGGGGGGAGGGAAGGGGGAGGTGGCAGCAGGGGTGTGTGCGTGAGAGAGAGATGGGGGTCAGGGGTGGGGGGACTGCTCCAGGTAGGAGAGGCCGCCAGAGCATTTACGTACCAGCCAGACGCACCGCTCATCTTGTGTATATTCTGGGTAATGTATGTTGTAACCATCTTGCTTGCTTTGCCTGCACTGCTCTTATTTCCTATCACTGTGGATCAACAAAATTTGCCAGAGGAGTTGTGGTCCATCTGAAGGATGTGCTTGCCTGGAGCCAGGGTATCAGGGCTGGGTTGTGAATTCAGTGCCAACAGCCACAACAGTTGAACACAAAATAAACCACCGTGTTACAGTAGTGGGAATCCCAAGACAGACACAGTCCATAACCCAGAAGCAGCTTCCTCTGGGACTTTTACGAAGTTTTTCTCCATAGATATGTCTCACCTACCTCCTCACCACAACCATGTACCTCTGGCTGAGGTAGGCAAGTACAGCCCAGAGTGGTCATGTTAGAGCTAGATGCTGCTTGCTTTGTTTCTCCCTTTTACCTGGTAAGTGGTATGTTTTTTCCTCCACCTTCTATTACATTTTATCTTGTTCTTGAGGAGACTCTCATGCTAATGCCTTTGGGAAGTTAATGTTTGGTTAATGAACTGGAACATGAGCAAGGATCATCTACGGAAAACATTTTTCAAAACTGTTTAAGTTAGGACAGACAGTGGCACAGATGTGATACATTTGGTGATCTCAAACAAACCCAAAGCCACGCAAACTAATAGCAAGTAGTATCATGTAATCAGGTTGTTCAAAAATGGAAAATTGGCTTTATGATTATATAAAACCTTTCATAAGATGTGGTGAGCTGCAATCCAATACACTGCAATTTGGGAATGCTGCCACAGTATAGCATAGGAGTTTTAGTTCTGGTGTTTCATGTCCTTATTCTTCTCAGTGGGTCGCACTTTCAGGCCAGTTATAGTCACAAACTCCCATGAATTACTACTACCTTTCTGCAAAGTGGGAGAAGGTGGCACATTGTGGGAAATGGACTACAGTCAAGGACTCTGGGCTTGAGAGCCAGAGTTTGAAACAACTCTGAACACCAACTCCTTTGGTGCACCGAGTCAGATTTCCACATCGAAATACTTCAGTTTTTAGTAATTAATTTTTCGTGGTCTTTATGGGGGGGAGCAGATTTTTTTTGTCAAATTGTAAAAAGAAAAGTCCTTGTTTCATCCACTCCTACTCGCAGAGATGAGGTGCATCAATACCAAAACCAGTACCCCTTTCTTGATCTCAGCAGCATTAGAATGGTATAGGGCCCTTATCCTTTGTTGAGGGGACTCCCACCAGTAAGTTTTATTCAGGTAATTTATCAGGCATAGAGCCCCTGGCATAAAACTCTACTTTCTGTCAATGAAGTGACACTGATTTGGTGTCTCTAGAATAGATAGGGCTTTGTTCTTGGCAGTCTCAGCAGAGAAAACAAGGACCCAGAGGCGTATCTTAAAATGTTGGTGTCCTGGGAAGTACACAAGGAGCAGGAGGAGAATAAACAGCTTACCTCTTCCTGCTGGGGCTGCTACAGTGGCAGCACAGGCTGCTGCTGCCTTAGTGCAAGCTGCCCAGACACAGGCTGCTAGGGCAGCAGCACAGGCTCCCTGGGGTTTCTTGTTCTGGCAAACCCTCTGAATCAGCATCCCCCCACCAACCAATTTATATTACTGCATGGACCAAATATACATGAAAAATGAAGGCAAGTTCCTCCTCTCTTGATCTTTCTGGTTAAGGGGGAGGGCACAGGCAGGGGTGGATGCATCTGCAGATCACTGCATGGTTGTGAAGATGATGTTGCCAGCAGGGCTTTGGCTTCTTTGACTATGGGATGTTGTTCCAAGAAGAAAGACTGCTAGGAAGAGATGGGATCTACCTGATGAAGAGAGGGAAGAACAACTTTGCAGACAGGTTTGCAAACCTAGTGAGGAATGCTTTAAATTATGTTGGCTAGGAGATGGAGACCAAAGCCCAGAGGCAAGTGGGGAAGCAGGTGACCAGGAGGAAGCACAAGCAGGAGGGGGCAACAAAGGAGGCCTTCTCATCCTTCCTGAGAAAGTAGGGCAATCAGTTAATTACCTCAGATGTGTCTACACGAATGCACGGAGCCTGGGAAACAAGCAGGAAGAATCGGAAGTCCTAGACGGTCGTGGAACTGGAACACGATTGAAATAACAGAGACTTGGTGGGATAGCTCTCATGACTGGAGCACTGTCATGGATGATACAAACTGTTCAGGAAGGCCGGGCAGGGGAGAAGAGGAGGAGGAGTTGCACTTTATGTAAAAGAGCCATATGATTGCTCAGAGCTCCAGTATGAAACTGGAGACAGGCCTGTTGAAATCCCTGGGTTAGGGTCAGAGGAGACAGCAACAAGGATGATGTTGTGGTAGGTGTCTGCCATAGATCACCAGAAAGGGAGGAGGAGGCTTTCTTCAGACAGCTAGCAGATGTTTCCAGATCACAGTTCCTGGTTCTTATGGGGGACTTCAATCACCCTGACATCTGCTGGGAGGTCAATATAGCAATCCACAGGCGATCCAGGAAGTTTCTGGGGACAGCTTCCTGGTACAAGTGCTGGAGTAGCCAACTAAGAGCCGTGCTCTTCTTGACCTGCTGCTCACAAGTGAGGAAGCCTTGGTGGGGAGTGCAGAAGTGTGGGGCAACTTAGGCAGCAGCGACCACCAGACAACCGAGTTCAGGATCAGAGCCCCCCACACAGCACAGGGCAGCGGGTATCACCCCCGCCTGGCAGGAACCAGTTAGGGCAGGGCTTTTTTTTTCTTTTTCTTTTCTCTTGGTGGGGCAGCTATCGACAGGGCTGGGACAGTGGGCAGGGATGGGGCCTGTTCGATTCAGAGATTCGGCAGCAGCCAAATCTCCAAATCAGATTCGGACAAATCAATTCAGGACAGTGATTCAAATCACCAAATCAAATCACTGTCCCCTGAATTGGCTGAATCCAAAGCAAATACTAACCTCTTCGCACAGGCCTAATAGTTTGCTCCACCCCACACATTCTCTGTTACCTGGTACAGGTCAACATGGGGTTTATCTTATGCAAACAGATCTGCTCGCATATAGTGCACGGCTATTTGAAAAATGTGCCCCTACTGTGTCCTGGCACACTGTTTTTCTAAGCAGGGATCCCACTTCAGTATTTAATTTAGCAGCAAACCTAATGATCTTAGACTCAACAACACCCAGGGAGGGAAGGCTTTGAAGCTTGGGATTTTCTTTTTCCAGTACTTTTTTAATTGATTCACATTTCTCAGAAATTAAACTTCTGCTCTGGACTTTCCCTTCACCACTCACTGCCGCACATTCAGATTTGTGAGAGCATTTGTATCAAAGCCCAGCACATTCCTTAGTACATGGAGACTCTAAATAATTTCCTATTCCAAAGGCAGTGATGAATTTAAAAGCTCTTTCTACCTCTGGAGAGCTCACTGGTTCCAAAGCACTCCCTTATCAAATGAAAGAGAATATTGCTGGAAAGGCCTCTAAAGCCAAATGACATTTTTCAGTGCACCCACTGTAGCCTGGAGTCCAGCCCTCCCACTCTGGCTTCATTCTGTGAGGACCCCTTTTACAAGCGCCAAAGATAGCAAAATCAGGCCTTAAATGGATAGGAAAGCGTGAGATCTAACTGTTTTCATATATTCTTATGCAGCCTCATTATCTTTAATGGAATTCACCAGGTGCAGCTGAGACCAGGATTAACCTATGCTGTTTGCTTCTAAATGCAGACCAAAAGCAATCTACTGTGATGTATCAAATGCCACCTTCATCAAGAGGGTTAGTGACATGAGAGACAAGTGTTCTCTGCTGGGCCATCTATTGTCATCCTTGCCACTGCATATATATATAATCCTGCTCAAACTTCTAAAATTGATGGGCCTTTACAGTGCAGTCTAGCAGAGTATGCAGTATTTTGCCTCTTTTTCCATCCCCCTTCTCATATTTTCTAAATGTTCAGATTTTCAGAAGTCCCAAATGTTCTTGTCCAATTTAAATTGGTTGGACTTCCCTACAACCAAGTACAAACTAAAGATTATAACTTCATAATGTTGTATTACACACAAAGGTGTTCTTAGCTGAAAGAAAGGGAGTGTATTTAGAAGGAGCTAGAGGGTTCTACAAATAATCTAAATGGTTCACACTTCATTTGAGGAATTTTCAGCACAGTATACAAACTAACCGTTTCCAGAAATTCCATAGACATATGTAAAAAGCGGTATTGTGGACTCTCAAATGACCATTTATATTTAAAAACATATATCTGTGTATATAATGAAAAAATCTGCCTTGATAAACATAAGGTACTTTGTTGACAGTGGTTGAAAACTTACTGTTGAAGTCATCTTGCACATGGATACAGAATGAACCCTTGTTTCCTTCCCCCACTACTTTCCTTAGCCAGGTCAGGGGTTTACAGACATTGCATGGAGTAAATGGAAACTTGTACCTCATCAGACTAGTAAGTGAAATCAAGCATGGTGCTCTGGCATATTCACTGGCCAGCTTTGTCAAAGATTTCACTAACTTGTCTATTAAGGAAAGAGAGTTTTAATCTGGAGCCACTGGATACAACATCAGCAGTGTCTTTGGAATTAGTGAAAACTGAGAGAAGGCAGGTCAAGGTAGTACCTTAGAGATTAACTGGTTCAGAGGCATGAGCTTTCATATGCAACATACTACTTTGTCAGATACAGGAGACTCCTTGTGCTAACACTTGCACTTCCCACATTTCTAAGGTGGTTCAGTCACAGCAGTTAATCCCTAACATTTGCAGAAGGAAACGCTTTTAAAAACACTTAAAATCCTCAATCTTGCATGACAAATTGTCCCCAGGTCATATTATTTTATTCTTACTTGCGTATTGATAAAAACTGATTTCTATCAGCATTAAACAACTTCAAAATGCCCCCCTGCAGTTCACTGACTTCATAATGAAGCCTCCCTCCTTTGAATAGAATATCTCCTGTTTTGTATTGGGATAAAGTGATTATACCAGCTGTGGGTGGGCAAACTCTGCAGGCATTTCAAGTACCCTGAGAGCCAATCATCCACAAAGCACCTAGACTCTATCAAAATGTGCTTTCAGCAACATCAAAGTGCCTTGTAACTCCCTGAGCATGGGGTGTACTTACTGCTTGGTTCCTTCCTTCTTTCCACAAACACTTTTCCATTTAATTTTCACTGTGTTGTTCCTGTTTTGGTTTGTATCCCTCACAGGCCAGTCCTTGTCATGTCATTTTTCTCTCCTTGCCCTCCAGAAGGCCACAGAGGGGGTGATGCTGGTGTCCCTTTTTACACAATAGCTTAGCAAGCAGACATCCACTTGAGGGGGGGGAAACCTAGATTTTGGCATCTGCTCTAAAGAAGCTGATTTTCTACCACCCCAGGTCAAGGAGCCAACCACTAATCTCATTATGCTTCCTGTGGCTTTGTACCTCAGTATGAGTCTTGAATTCTTTTCTGCCCAGTGGGAGAGGAAGGGCTGGGAGTGTCCCTATGCAGAAGTAGTCTGTAGCCTGATAATTAGGGTACTCTCCCAGGGGATGCAAGTCTCTCTCTCTCTCCAGGCAGAGGGAACCAAACTTTGTTCTCATGCCTCTTGGACAATGCTCTAGCTGTTTAGCTGTTGTAGATGAATTTTAAAGAAAAGGAAAAGCACTGCCTTCTCCTCCGGTTTTGTATTTTTCACAGGAAAAGAATAACTCTTGTACAGTTATCAGACTTAAGGGGGTAGATGCCTACCTTCAGGAGACTATCCCAGTCTGTGGAACCCAAGGACAAGGCACTATCTTGTGCTCAGAATAAAGTTTCTAAGACTCAGAGAGACTGAGCTCTAGACGCACCATCCTCAGCAGTTCCTCGTTAACAAGTTGTAGGCAGCATGCTGGCCTTGGTTGGCTCCCTGTTCATGTGGGTAGTTTTGGATCCATTCTGTAACAATCTGACTCTCCCTATGTATTACATAGGGAGCACTTAACACGGTTTGAGAGCCAAGCACCAAAAGTATTGCAGCATTTGGACACCAAGTCCCTTTGTCGCTTTAGCTCTCTATGACAGTGAGTTCAGGTCCTCAGCTGGTATAAATCATCCTGACTGCACTGAACTCAAACGGAGCTTCCCGACTGCACCAGCTGAATATCTGGCTTGTAGCCCTCCTCCCTTTGAAGATGAGGGATTTGCAGAGTTTAATGAAGGGTGACATTGTTCTCGAATCAGGCTCTATTGGCATGAATAATTTTCTTCCTGTCACCCTGCTGGTTAGCTTGCAGTTGTACAGACAATCCACTGTCCTCCTCATGCTTGCTTATTATATTATTAGTCAATATTTATTTAACAGTAGCACCCAGAGACCTTAACTAAAATCAAAGCCCAATATGTTAAGCACCGTTCAAGCATTTAGCAAGAGAGAACCTCTGCCCCAAAGCGCTAAGAGTCTAAACTGGGTGGGCAAAATACAGCCCATGGGTGCCCCCACAGCAGTCTGCATGCGGCCAAGGCCTGCCTGCTCCCACCCAGGGCAATGCAATCCACTCCTGCCCACAGCTCCAGCCCCACCCCCAGCAGCCTGCACACCTTCCTGGCAGGACTGCTTCTGGTGCAGCAGGTACTGCTCGGCTCCCCACCTTCTCCTATAGCTCCTCCTCCTGCCCCCTGCTGCACCGCTCCAGGGTTGGGGGAAGCTGCAGCTAAGCAGCTCCTGGCCCAACATGCAAAGCTCCACCTCCCGTTCCCAATTACCTGTAGGTGGCTGCTCCTGGCGCTGAGCAGGCAGATTGCTGGAAGGTGGAGCTAGAGCCCCACACGCTGAGGGAGGAGTCTCCCAGGGCAGCTTCTCCCCATCCAAAGCAATACAGGAGGAGGAGGAGGAGCCACTGGAGATGAAGGGAGCTGAGCAGCACATGAGCAGCTGCAGTCACTTCAGGAGCAACCCCACTGGGAAGCTGTGCGCCCTGGCTGAGGCCAGGGCCAGGAGGTGCAGGTGGATACACAGGGCAGGCTGCTCCAGGCAGGAGTGGGCAGGGCTCAGCCCCATGAGGGGTGCTGTGGGGGCAGCTGCAGGCTGGTTGGTGGGGGCAGGCCATACCTGCACTTCCATCACCCTTAGGGAGCTTTGCTGCATGTGCCACCTGCCCTCACTTCTTCCCCTAGTGCACGGGCAGCCCCCAAATACACATGTACCCCCACACCAACATCCACACCTCACATCGCTACACATGCTCCCCCCACACAGTCTACAAGAGTAAGACTTTATTTTGAGCTATTATAATCACCTCTATACACACTACTAAAAACCATAAATCAGGGGGGGAAATTTAATTAAAATTAAAATATGTTATAGTGTAGATTTGATTTTTAGTATATTATTTATTTTTATCTATAATTTGTTAAAATGATATCTTCTATAAAAAAAATTGTGTATGCAGCCCTCAACAGCTCACTTGTTAAGTGGCCCTCTAGCTGAAATAATTGCCCACCTCTGGGATACTGGCTTCCTTTCTTTGCTTCTTGAGTTTTGAGTCTGTAAGGGGCACTAAGCTCATATTTTCTAGATTCTGCCCCACAATCATGAGGCCTAGAATCGTACCTTTTTCATTTTAATGAAATCATGTTCTCACTAATCATGAAGCTCCAGGAGCTTTAGGAATAACTTAATAGATCACAATATATTCATTATAAAGGCACTTGAGTTGGAAACACTGAAACAAGCTGCATCCTCTTCTGCTAGATCCTGGGATATCCAGACACATGGGTGGATCCAGGCTTTTGAAAAAGGGGGTGCAGATGGTGGGTGCATCATCACATATAACACCTTGACAGTGCATCCAGTGCTTCACTGAAAGTTATTTCCATACCTGAATTAATGTTCACCCAAGTTAATGTTTCCTCAACTCAGTTAATGTTTTTAGCCAGAGTTAGAAAATAGTCTGCAGGGCTGTAAAATAGAGCTAACATTAACAGTAGCTGTTAACAGCAAAATTGCTGAAGAAAGTATAGCTTGATTAATGGAACGTTGAGACCATTAAAAGGGAGAGAGGATTGTTAACACCTGTGGAATGAAGTGTTTAGAAGGAATCAGATAGATTATAATGAGACATGAAATAAGTTGAGTCTCTCACTGCTGCCACTGCCTGGCAATTTGTTTTAAACTTTTGGTGGAGCGGGAATCAAAGTGGGGTGCAACTGCACCACCCCATCCCTCTCTCTCCCCCACCTTCAGTCTGCCCCTATCCAGACAGGAGACAAGTCTCTGGTATATAGCAGAGCAACCTGAACATTGAGTTAGGGTGATAAACACTGTTATCAATTACCTGCTGGGCTAATTGGAGCATCCTGCGGGCCTGGCCGCCCCCACCCCCACCCCCTCCCTCAGCTCAGTATAGTGAAAAGGAAGGGAGGGCTGCTCTAGCATCCCCCAGCTTCTAGCCTGAGCCACTGCAGGCATGTGCCCGCATTTCTGGGATGTCTGTCCGGTTGCAAAATGGATCTAGCCTACCCAAGTTAGACTAACCTGCAGAGATTGAATCAATATAGGCTCGGGCTTTTTGAATGTCTGTCCCTAGCCAAGCAGCATAAGTACATGAATGTAAGTACATGAATAGGGCTGCAAAACCCCACTTATTTAACTCCCAACCCCTGAAAGGAAAAAAAAAAAGGGACCTAGGTATTTCCTTCTAACTGAGGTGACTTTTAAATGCTTTCTAGGGAGCGGATAAATGGCAGCACTGACCTTCTCAAATACAACCTGCTTTTTCTGTCCGGAAATCCAAATCCTTGTGCTTATAGCCAGAAGAGATATTTCTCTCCTTTGCATTACCAGCACTGAGTGGATATCACAGCTCAGGAATGCTTGAATAGCTGGCAGTCTTTGTATTTGTGTAACATAAAACAGGTAATCCCCAAGAGAACCTCCTTTGCAGTGGTTTTCCTTTTCAAGTATTTCCTCCAGCAGGAGCTTTGTACAAGTGGAACACATGCTTGACATATCCCATCCTTGTCATTCTCTTTGCCTTGCGCCTGTAATGCAAGACTTACATGTAGCATTGAAAAGATTTCCATTTAGGTTAAAAGAACCAACGGAGGATAACAGAAGACTTTGCTGCTCTTAGAAAAAAAACATTTTGTAAAGGAAATCTCACTTTCTGAGAGTAGTATTATTTATTATTACCATTTTGTATGACTGTAGCACCTAAGACCCTTGTTATGGCTGACAATGCCTTTGTGCTAGGTACAAAGGAAACAAAAAAAGGATCCCTCTAAATGGGGGGTGGTAAGTCAGGTGGCAACAGTCGGTGAAGGGCCCTGAAAGTAGAAGCAATGTATTTATGTTCAGTTGCTGTATTCCCCTCCTTGTACCAACTGTAGAACCAAGAGCAGAAATGAAACACAAATATAAGTATTCAGAAGGGACACAGGGGTTCCAATACACTGGAAGTGTTCACAAATATGCCATATGGCAATTGGTTTCATCATGCCAGTGTCTCCTTTTCAACTCTGGTTCAAATCAAAGGCCAAGTCCTATGTTATTAATTTATTTATTTATTTGATATAAGCAGATATATAAGCCTTCCCAACAAAGGATGGCTTACAATAAGAAAACAGAATAACTTAAAACTGTTAATAACTTTCAAAAACCCATTTGAAAGTGTAGTGATATAAATCTGTTATTTTTAATAAAGTTGCACTAGTATCAGCTGGTTGCTTGAACACAATGAGGGAGCTGTGCTAGGAGTTCGACACCGTGGATTTAACTGATAATTTTTTGATGCCATCCATGACTATTAGCCCAGTATATGAGTGTAAATATCTATTAAGCATACATCAATTTGGAATAGACAATAAAACCAATTTAAAGAGCTGTTCTACTCAGAAAAGCAATTAAATTGCATTTATCCTGATATGTAATAAGTTATATCTGCTAAATGTAGTAACTTAAATACAGTAAGTTTCCCTCTATGGCTGATAGATAGAACTGGAAATTATGTTGCATTGCATGCAATGCCAATAGCCTCATATGACGAGGTGACGATTCCAGAGACAGTCAAAGCCCAAGCTTGAATCTGCAGACTGTGTCAGAAAGGCTCTCTTTCTAACGGTAAACAGAACCCATGGCAAAGAAGAATGATTCCTAGATCAGCGGTTCTACTCAGCCACCATCGCCTACCATGGTGGGGGCACCTACAGCAATGATGCCTTCCAGCAGGCAGAGGTAAGTATAGATGGATGGGCAGGCAGGATCCTTCCAGCACACCCGCCCCCAGAGTTCCCCTGGGCACGTGGACCTGAGCACCCACACCTCTGCCCTGGGTACATGTGCACCCACCTGCTTGGTGTACACACCTCTGCCCTGAGTATACGTGCACCCAGCCGCATTCCCTATGCATGTGCCTCTGCACTGGGTACATGCATACCTGCCTGCCCCCACTGCATGGGTCTGGGCACATAGGTCTCTGCATGGGGCATGTGCACACCCAGCTCCCCAGTGCACTCATTCAGGAGCACGTACCTCTTGGCTGGGTACCCACGCAACTACCTCCTGATGCAGGCATCTGGGCACACACACCTCTGCACTGGGCACAAATGCATGCTTTACTCCTGTATGCATGCACCTGGGTAACCACACTTCTGCACTGGGTATATGTGCACCTGCCTGCCCCCAGTACATGCATCTAGGTGCACAGGCCTCTGCACTGGGTACACACATACACAGCTCCCCAGTCCATGCATCTAGGCACACACACCTCTGCACTGGATACACATGCACCCACCTACTCAATTACACACACCTGGGCTCACACACCTCTGCACTGGATACATGTACACTTCTCCCCACCCCCCTGCCCCAGTGCACGAATCTAGGTTCACACATCTCTGCACTGGGCTCATGCACACCTACCTCCCTGGTGCATGCATCTGGGTGCACATGCCTCTGCACTTGATCTATGCACACCCACCTGCTCAGTGTACACACCTAGGAGCACACGCCTCCGCACTGGGTATACACACACCTACCCGCCCCTAGTGCATGGACCTGAGCATATATGCATCTGCCCTGGATACACATACACCCACCTGGTCAGCACCTGGAATCACACACCTGTGCCCTGGATACATGTATACCCATCCACCCCCAGTGCACACACCTAGGCTCACACATCTCTGCACTGGATATACATGCACCCACCCACCTCCAGTGCATGCCTTTGGGCTGCTGTCTTTAAAAGTTTCCTGTATTAACAGCAGCTTTGGTGAGCGTGCAAAACTACACACTGCTTTTTGTCCTGTCTTAGCTGTTTCGGGTTTTGCACATCCTAATGATGCCAGGGATGATACACACGCCAAGGATGACACAGTCACTTTTTAAGTAAAAATACATTCTCAAGAGATATGGACCAAAAAATAAGCTATCCCCCCCAAGTAAAAAACACACATACAATGCAAGTTTCTACCCTTACAACCAAGAGCATTCATGGCATTAAAAGTGTCAATACACAATCTTTCCTAGAGCCTTCATTAATATATATAATCACAGCTTCATTTTAGGGTCAAAAGCATACCTGCTTTCTTCCCTCATTCTTATGTAATGATGAAGATGAGGGCCTAGTCTTGAGAAATCATAAGAGTAACTACCTCATAAGAGTAACTACCCTGACATCCAGATTTTTTTTTTTTACAGCTCTTTTTTTTTTTCGTATTTCTTTGGCTCTCCCAAAGGATAGCACCTTTGGGAGAGCTAAAGAAATACCATGTAGGGCCTGCATGGACTGAGCATCTGGATGGATCTCTTCCTTACAATCTTAGGCATATGCTCCCTCTGC